TTGCTTATCACCGCGCTGTTCTCGGGGAGGCAGATAAGGAAAATTGCCTATTTTAGCAGTCATCCTGGCTTTGTTATTCAGTACAATTAATATTTCACATATCTCATACCTGGGAGCTGTGAATGGGTAATGTAGGAGTTATGTAGCTACAGGCGAGTCAAAATTGATTCAGTGGGAAAGTTGATCTGCTAATATTCAGAAATGTGTAGGATTGTGCATTCATCGCACGGCAGCGAGGGGTCTATAGTGAGGACTGCTGGGTACAGAATGGAGGGGGCTTGTTTGTGTGCACCCACAAGTAACCTTTACCCATAGCTACCAGCTATCCATCTTTAGAGGAAAATGTCAACTAACCATCTTCTAGGGGACGTGGTTCTCAACTGGTGGGTCGTGACCCAAAAGGGGGTCGCGACCCCGTGTCCAGTGGTACAGTAGAAAGGCATCATGGCACACTCACAAACCAGCATGTAAAACAACTTGTCTCACCACTAAGGACAATGACAGAGGTTTGGATACACGTCTTCTGCAAAGGATGTGTAAGCCGCACTGCCGCGCCAAGGCACCTCTTATAGTGCGGTCCTAACTCTAAACTATGAGAGTCTCCGTCTTGGAGCACATGGGGGCAGAAGATATCAAATTGGGTGCAGGCCTGTCAGGAGGACGCCCCACCTCCTTAAAGGTACAGAGACACACAAGGGATCCCGCACATCCCATTGGCAGCTGAGAAACCCCATGCGTCGCTGCACCAAATCGGTAAAGCAAAACAAACGACAAACGCACTCAACAATTTGTTACCAGTTATACAGTAAGGTGCACACGAAATGGGCTTTGAACAGTGGTACAGTAGAAAGGCATCATCATGAGTGTGCCATGATGCCTTTCTACTGTCCCACTGTTCAAAGCCCATTTCGTGTGCACCTTACTGTATAACTGGTAACAAATTGTTGAGTGCGTTTGTCGTTTGTTTTGCTTTCCCGTGTCCAGTGGGTCGCCAAATGCCTTCCACTTTTCTAGGTGAAAGGATCCTCAGCCTCCCCCTAGAGAAGCACTGTCAGTTCTCGCACCGAGCAGCCATTCAAAAATATGATGCCCAGTGCCGAGTGTCGACTTAAGGTGGGATGAGGTGGGGCTATGGCCACAAGGGAGCTCCATCCATACGTGCATTGCTTACAGCTCATCACATTCTGGCTCCCGACACCTCTACAGGGGTGCACAGGAGCTTTACAAGCAATACACATATGAATGGAGCTCCATCGCAGCACAGCAGCCGACACTGGACCTCAGGTTGAGGATCCACTCCAATTTCCGTAATGGCAACCCAAACGCACCTCCCACCCACAGTATGATTGCCTGCACCGGAAAGCGCAGTACCGCAACAAGGAACATTGCAGTGCAACTTGGATCGCAATTTAATGACCGAGGACAAATGTGGGTCCCGAGGTTACACAGGTTGAGAACCACTGCTCTAGGGAAAATCCTTTTCTCTCCCATCCCAAAGTAAATGGTCCTCTTTTACGGGGGTGGGCAACTCTGGCCCTTCAGCTGTTGAGGAACTACAAGTCCCATGAGGCCTTGCAAGACTGACAGTTACAGACATGACTCCCAGAGGCAGGGGCATGATGGGATTTGTATTTAAAGGAGAACTATGGGGTCAGGGCTTTTCCCCATAGTTCTCCTTAGGGTAACGGGAGGACACAAACTAGCGTCCTCCCGTTACCCTAAGCTCAGTATACCGCGAGCTACAGCTCGCGGTATACTGAGACGCCGCAGCTGGAGCGGATGCCGACATCGATGTCGAGATCCGCCCAGCTGCGTGAGTGACAGCTGGCTCTGCCTATCTAGAGGCAGAGCCACCTGTACCCGCCCCCTCTCCCATCTGATCCACCAGTCAGCGCTGGCGGATCGAAGCGCGGAATCCAGCCCCTCCCCTGTCACGACAAGAGAGCCGTGACAGGATCAAGAGGTGAGCGAACGCCGGTATTTGTTCGCTCACCTCCCGATCTACTGAGCCGACCTGTGACAGTCTCATTGTCACAGGTCGGCTAGAACTATGAGGTGAGTGAGAAGCACTCACCTCATAGTTCTCCTTTAAAGCACAGCAGGAGGAACAGAATTACCCACCCCTGCTCTTTTAGGTAAAGACTGCTGTAAGCTGTAAATAAATATACTTTAAAGTTTTATACAGTTACATAGTAGATCAGGTTGTAAAAACACACAGGTCCATCAAGTTCAACCTCTGTGTGTGAGTGTGGGTTTTATGTGTTTGATCCAGAGGAAGGCAAAGCAAAACAAAATAGGAGCTTTGGCCAATTTGCTGTAAGAGGGGAAACATTTTCTGTCCAGACCCTATACTGGTGATCGGATAAATGCCAGAATCAATCTCCTATTGGATTTAATAATTCTCATAACCATGTATATTATGCTTACTGAGGTAGACAGTGACTAAGGCAAAATATATCTTTTGCCAGATCCTATAGCTATAATTCTTTTAAGGTTAGCACAAAAAGAATGAAAGAAAACTTTACATTGACTAAATAAGGGGCCCCTTGCATCCCTATTTAATCTATACCCCCTACTACAAGCCTTTGATCAGTTGATCAACCTTTGATCAGTTGGTAACTTCCTACAATGGCCACAGTCTACAGTCTTCTTGATTCGGCATGACCAACTGACTCTGGGGCTTTTCTCCATAGGCCCCATTGATAAAGCCATCTTCCTTTAGGCCTGCAGGGACCATAAGTGTAAGGGTTACAGGAAGGTTTACAAAAAGGGTAAGGGTTAGTTTGAGGCTTACATAGAGTGTTAGTGTGAGGGTCTGTTTTGTGTGAGTGTTCAGTTTTAGGTTTTGTATTAGGGTTACAGGAAGGGTTAGTGTTAGATTTACAGAAAGGAATAGTGTTACACAGAGAATCAGTGGTAGATATACAAGAAGGGATAATATTAGGGTTAAAGTGAGGGTTAGTGTTAGGTTTGCAGAGAGAGGGGATGTTAAAGTTAAAGGGAATGTTACTATTAATGTTACAAGGAGAGGGTTAGTGTTAAGCTTCCAGAGAGGGTTAGATTAAGGATTCGTATAGTGTTACAACAGAGAGGGTTAGTGTCAAGGATAGTTAAAGGGTTACAGGATGTGTAAGTTTGAGGTTTAGTGCTCAGGTAGCAGGAAGGGTCAGTGTTAGGATAAGTGTTACTGTAGAGGTTACATGAAGGGTCAGTGTTAGGGTTAGTATTCAGCTTGTATAGAGGATTAGTGTAAGGATTAGTTTTAGTGTTAGGTTTTACTGTAGGGTGACAGAAGGGGTCAGATTGAGGATTAGTGTTAGAGATACAGAGAGATAGTGTTAGGGTTAAAAGCCAAGTCGGTGTGATGGCCACAAGGTGGTTTAGTGTGTTTGTTCATGTTAGGTATACACAGAGTGTTAGTGTTGAAGGAAAGGTCAGTGTAATGGTTATTGTTAGTGGTACAAGAAGCACTAAAAAATAATTCGATTTTATGAATGTTTTGAGTTATTCATATATTTCCTATTCAATGCAGCCTGTCGAATTGTTATTGCAAATGTTTTTGCTAAATACCTAGTGATGCTGCTATTTCCTGTTTCAAACATCTTGTGAAGCACAGAAGCAGATCTGTGTTGGGGTGGTCAGTTTGCATCTTTGGGATAATTCTAGGAGTAACAGGACGCAATGCCGACTTACCCCTAACTCCCATATCCAGTTTTGTGGCCCAGGCCCTGCTCTGTTGATTGTGTTTGTTGAGGTTGTTTGTTGTATAAGACATTGCCCTTTCCTTTAGCATGATCATGCAAAGAATGCAAACTGATCCATGTCTCAGCTTCAGGGGCATCCCAAGGTGGGGTGACACCGGATCGGGAGCTGGGTGACACTCCACCATGAAGTCATCGTGCATTTGTGTGACGTCATTGTGCACGCGTGTGATGACATCACGTGCTGTTACCTGCCGGCTGCCATCTTGGTGATGGATGCCGGCATAGAGAGGAGGGGACATTCACTCGGCGGGATAAAGTGTGCCGCCAGACCTCCTCCTCTCTTGATCAACTGTCGGGCTCTCGCTCCTTGAACAAGTGCCTGATTTTTCTAAGGGGGTGACACCAAAATGACTGTCAGTCATTTCGGCATCACCCCTCCAATGGTGTTAACTGTGTGCGGGCCGCACCCCCCTAGTGACGCCACTGCTCAGCTTAAAAACAATTGCCGGTATAATGGTTGAGTTTATAGTTTAAATATGTTCCAGCAATTACCATAATACCTTACCTACAAACAAGAAAGAAGAAAGGCCAGTTAGTTCTTAGCTGAAACTGGTACTTGCCTACTGTTTAACTAACTAATTGCAGAGGCTACAAAAGAGGTTGTGTTAGAAGAAGAGACAAAAACAAGATGGAAGAGAGAATTTCATGTATATACATTCTTTCACAACTGATAATGACTCTCAGCTGGAGCCTTGCTGTTAAAACTGTCACTTGTTGTAGCTAGTACAGCAGGTATGGGCTCATGTGTGCATGTTGTTATGTACTGCTACCATGTATTTTCATAGGGAGTCATTTGCCTTTTACATATTATGTACTGGTTCATTCAAACTTTCCCTGCTTTATGTGACGTCATACTATCCCTGCCTGCTTGCTAGAGCATGCGCCCCCTTCACTATATGTAAGAAGGACACACAGGGAGGAGGCACGGTCACGTGACCACCATTTTAAAAAGTGCACAACAATTTTTGATAGAAATAAATATACTTTGATTCAGCTAATACTATCTGATGTCTTATTATTGTCTTATATAGTACTGTGTTCACAAATACTTTAAGGGCTACCGTCATGGTAAGGTTTCCATAGAAGATCAGTGGAAGGGTTAGTGTTACAAGGAGTCGGTTCTAAGATCCTCCCGACACTAAAATCTAACCTAACATGTAGCAATGCAGCTTTTTTCTACTACTGATATTTGGAATTTTGAAATAAAATCATTGACATTTTTTTTTTCTTTTGCAGTGTGTTAAACAGAACACCTATGCACCTTATCCATGAAATAATTCTTGTGGATGACTTCAGCGATAACTGTAAGTTTGACTTCTTCATTGCTCATCTAAAAGGTTTCTAAAAAAATGAATCATGGTAAAGTGCTTTAATATTGAACGATTCTGCCACCGGCTCCTAGAAACATCTTGAAATTTTCAAACTTCTCATCAGCCATCACTGATACTTTGTAAATGCCAGTAATTGGCACAGCACAGCTTTAATGCACACTTCAATCTAAACTGAAAAGGAAGTCTCCTGATCTGTGCAGGAAACACAACCTACCTGGTCATGGCTTTAGCTGTTTAAGCAGGCATTGATGAAGTGCACTGGTCCATCCCACTTGCTTTTGGCTTTAATGCGATGACCTGGGATATCTTGGAGCTCCGTTGGAACTCTTGGAAGTTCCAAGCCACCTTACTAAAAAGTCTTTCGACCCTCTGCCAGGTTTTTATTTGAAAAGAGCCTTATTTTGTGTCCAGATCTTGGTTGTCAGACATAACTAAACTCATTAATTGTTGTATTAGTTGGTTTGCAATGTGTTAAACTGTCAGCAGTACAAATTGTTACATTTGCAGTTTTTGAATAGTGCAGTACAGCTGGCCTGGCTTAAAGTGGACATTTACCCTTATCTTTAAAATAACAACAAACACAGCTTTATAAATGTTTAGTAATGACAATCTATAAACACATACTTCTAGATCATTGCCGGGTTTGTATTCTTTGCATACCTTATTTCTCTTTTCTTCCCCAGTCTTCTGATAGTGGCCATGTTTACTAAGGGCAGATTACTAGCTCTTTTCTTACTTCCTGGCACATGTGACTAGACATGTGACCATGCACATAATCTCAGGGGAGGAAAATGCCTTTCCCTGAGATCTCCTGGTATTACAGATGAGATTCCCCAGCAATGCTCTGCTGATGACAAGGCAATCCCAGTTTGCATTGCTTTGGCAAACTGAAGTCATTTGCACTTTCAAAGCAGGAAGTGAATGCTTTGCAAGTGTAAGTATTTCACAACCACAGCATTTTACACCTGACATGTTCATGGTAATTTTAATCATCATACATAGAGGGATGCATTGGTAGAATTTGATTTTTGAGCTTAAAGGTTTGCTTAAAGTGTTAAAGAAACAACCTGATATCCATGGTTGAGAGTTTGCACTCATACTATTGTCACAGTCAGCTCAAACTTCCCTCTCTTTGTGAAACAAAGTCATTTTCCAAAGCATGCAAACATAAATTGGCACAGAAGAGGAAGGCATTGTTGAATGTTACTGCTGGGATGGAACCAAGCATCAATCATTTGGGCAGCAAGAGAGTAAGCAATGGAAACAAGTATTTATATGACCTGTATAGCAGTTCTGTCCTGGGGGACAGCTAGTGTGCCATGGCCCTTAATGTAATGCTGGGCATAGCGTTGGGCAGTCTGTGGCAATTTCAACCACTTTCAAATAATGGCTAAGCTGATCAAGTCAACCTTCCAGTAACAGTTTCTATCGAAACTGTAACACAATCAAGATCAATAATGCTAGGTATCTGTTCTGTTACTTTTGTGATTGTGTATAGCCATCAATGGAGTGAACCTTTTGGTTTCATAACAGCTTGGTTTTTGTACCGAAGGCACAAAGCTGAGAGCCTCCTGGTGCCAAAATGTATTGTACTAGTTGTGGCAGTGCAAGTCAATGCCACGGTGTAGTTTGGCAACTATGGCACCCAGGATTCTCAACCAGAGGGGCTAAGAGGGTCCAGAGTGTAAACCATTTTATAAGGAAGAACCTGTCTTTTCAGATTCTTCCAGGTTTTCAGAATTGTAAATGGGATCTGGAGCTCTGGAGATTTCTTAGAGCTCTGGGTGGAATAAAATCTCCAGTCCTGTGGCCAGGTGTTGCCAATGACCAGCCTGGGCTGATCAGGTGGCTGAGAGCAGCCTCATTAGGAGTCTGGACCAGAGCTCAGGGAGTTGTGTGTGCAGGAGGTACACAGCCACAAGCAAACTCAAGTGCCTTCTGGATGAATGTGGAACAGCCAGGGGAGGCTGGGAGAGGTCGGGAAGGTGGGTGACCCAAGAGACCTGTTGGACACACTGCTGAGAGAGCAGTATGAGTGCTCACGAGGGGTGAGCAGTGTGAGTATCACACAGAGATGTGCTGAGAGACGTGGAGCTGTGGAAAGCTACTGCGGACTGTGTATGCTGAGAAAAAGTGGATTATTATAAGAAGTGCATGACCTGTTCTGTTTCATTTATGTTGAAGATGAATAAAGACTGTCCGTTGTATGTTCAAGTTGGCTTCAGAAGTAGTCACTTAGCGCTCCCCATTGGGCTATATTCTCCAAACTACCACACAGTCTTAACTATTTCCAGAGGCAATTGGAAGCTTGAAAAACTGCTGCAGAGGAATGGATGTTTGCCCAGACTGAGGTATTTCTCAAATTGAGAGGAGGAGCAAGAATGGAACTAGTTAGTTGAAGTCAGTCTAGAGTTTGGTAAAGCCAAATGTTTCCCAGGCATTTTCCTGGATTTGATACATAATGGTATAGGTATCATCTGCATTGGGCCATTCAGGGATTGGGTTACCAGGCCTATTCAATAACACATTTATCATTATTATTGGTATAGTTAATCGTAGCGGTCAGTCATTGTTCCTCTGTCACATATGGCAGCAGTAAACTGCAATCTAATTGGTTACAATTGGTAGTCTGTTGTTCATTCCTGGCTTTATTAAATTAGCAAGAAAAATCTGTAAAATTTAAATTCTCTGTAAGCTCACTAGCCACTCCCCTATTCACCAATATATGTCCTGCTCAGAGCTGGAGAAAGAAAGGTAATAATTAATTAGACTTTACAGCAAGAAAAGATCCCGGCAATTAGAATTTGTAACTACATTTAACCAGTAATATATTACAGGGCTGAATGGCAAAGTGTGACAAATGTTCCTCTGAAGGAGGATTCTGAAAAATGGATGAGTTTAATAACTTTTAATGAGTTCATTAAATAGCTCTTAAGTCTGTATTGAAAAGCTATGAAAGTCAATGAACTACTATTATACCCATATTTAAAACACATCATCTCCCCTTTTTTTTGCCTCTCTTCTTGCTATCTGTCTGTATAGGACCAACCCTATCTTATTACAACAAGTAGGGGATTGGTATGGATCGCATGACTCCTCTCCTTTTCTTTTATATCCTTCCCTCCTCTCCTCTTCCTCCTATTCTCCTCTCTTTTTCTTTTATATCCTTCCCTCCCCTCCTCTTCTTCCTACTCTCCTCTCCTTTTCTTTTATATCCTTCCCTCCTCTCCTCTTCCTCCTATTCGCCTCTCTTTTTCTTTTATATCCTTCCCTCCTCTACTCTTCTTCCTACTCTTCTCTCCTTTTCTTTTATATCCTCCCCTCCCCTCCTCTTCTTCCTATGCTCCTCTCTTCTACTCTTTTGACTTTTTTTATCCTTCCCTCCCCTTCTCTTCTTTCTGCTCTCCTCTCTTCTAACTCTACTTTACTTTTATATCCTCCTCTCCACTCTCCTCTCCTCTCCTCTCTCCCACCCTCCTTCCGTTATATCTTCAGCTATCCTTTTCTTCATTGTCCTCTCCTCTCTGTTGTCTGCCTTTTCTTTTAAATCTTTTCCTCCTCTCCTCTCCCCTCCTCTTTACACCCTACCTCTCTTCTCTCCTCCTTCCCTCCTTTTTATCTCCTCTCCTCCCTTCTCACCTCCTCTCCTCCCCATCTCCTCTGTTCTCACCATCTTCCCTCCTTTTCATTTCATCTCTTCTCTTCTTCTTTCCTCTCCTTTCCTCCCCTTTGCCCTCCTTTTCCCTTCCCCTCCTATCCTCTTATCTTCTCTCCCCTCTCCTTCTCTTTGTACTCACCTCCACATCAATTGAGGATCCCACTTTTATAGTTGCAGGGGGTAACAGGGCCTTCTATCACAAGGGGCAAGATTTTTTTCCTGTTGACTAGCAGCTTTAAAAATAGAATCCCCATTTGTTTGCTGCAGATGTCAGCCAAGGGACAAGGAGCTTGTGCTTCCTTGGCATGCGGGTTTGCTGTTTGGGATTCAACTGCCCCCTCTCTTGTGGCCAAAGGGAACTCTGTACCACTTTTTACCAGTTCAATATTAACTTTGGATACATCTAATATTCACCCAGGGAAGTGAATAATGGTCTCCTTTTTGTCTCTGAAATGCTATTGTGCAGCTATTTCTCTGTCTACTTCTTTTCTCTTGGTAGAATTTGGAGTTTCCTCTCTTTTTCTTCTCCGGTAGTCAAGTTCAGGATGTGAGCAGAGAGTCTCTCGCAGTGTGTTATCCTCACTTGGGAACATTATATTAAAGGGAAACTCCAGGATTAAAAAAAAAAAAAGATAACCCTTGCAGTGGGCTACCCGGGGTTAACTGCTCCTTTTGGTCAAGGGGCACAAAGAAAGAAGATACTGTATACTCACCTGATCCTCGACCCCACCTAACTGCTAGATTGGTCCCCATAGTCTCTTTTCCCCCGGGGACCCCACGGTCTAAGCCCCGCTGACGTCACCATGTCTGATGCATGTCCATTCTCCTGCCTTTGACGTTGAGATGCTGAAGAACATACCCCATCTAGAGAGGAGGGGGTAGAGGTGAGTGCTCACCATCACAGGACCAAGGATTATGTGAGCATATCTTCTTATATCAGACCCTAGTGTGAAATTAGCACTCAACCCTTACAGTGGGTGGGTAGCCCCACTGCAAGGGTTAATTTTTTGAAAACTTGGAGTCCTTCTTTAAGAAGTGTGCTTCATCCTCCAGGGCCCCCTGGTCAAATCGCCCAATCAGTCTATTCTTTATGGGGTTGTAGGTCTATCTGTGCTGCCCAGATACACTTTCTCTATATTTAGCCATTATCAAGTCTTTTGACCATAGGAATCTTACTGTTTTACTGGTTCATCTTTAAATGCACCGTGATATAACTAAAGGCAATCAAGGTGTATTTTATTACACAGTATATCTTTATGGCTGTAGTTCTGCGGCAATCATATCAATTTATTATCTGAGCTGTGCTCATTATTAG